TGTTTATTTATTCTATTGTGGGGTGTATTTATCATCTTTTTATGTTATGTATCGTGTTTATTATATAATTTTGAAAAAAATATCATGGATGGATTAATGAAAATGTGTATATTACCGTAATATACGACATTTAATGAGACTCGGTGACTATTGTTATTATGGCGTCACTTGTGGAAGTCGTCTGCTCACATCTCACATTTATGTTTATTTATTCTACTGTGGGGTGTATTTATCTTATTTATATGTTATGCATCGTGTTTATTATATAATTTTGAAAAAAATATCATGGATGGATTAATGAAAATGTGTATATTACCGTAATATACGACATTTAATGAGACTCGGTGAGTATTGTTATTATGGCGTCACTTGTGGAAGTCGTCTGCTCACATCTCACATTTATGTTTATTTATTCTACTGTGGGGTGTATTTATCTTATTTATATGTTATGCATCGTGTTTATTATATAATTTTGAAAAAAATATCATGGATGGATTAATGAAAATGTGTATATTAACGTAATATACGACATTTAATGAGACTCGGTGACTATTGTTATTATGGCTGTCACTTGTGGAAGTCGTCTGCTCACATCTCACATTTATGTTTATTTATTCTACTGTGGGGTGTATTTATCTTATTTATATGTTATGCATCGTGTTTATTATTATAATTTTGAAAAAAATATCATGGATGGATTAATGAAATGTGTATATTAACGTAATTATACGACATTTAAATGACTCGATGTATGTAAGTTTATTTAGGTACAGGTATACATAAGTATAATTATCAGAGTATATATAAAATATGAAATAACTTTTAAAAACATTTGAAATTTTGGAGTTTCCAGACAAAATGGAGAGACTTAGTGCTTACTGAGCTCATGGAGAATGTAAACAAACAGGGTGGGGCACGGTGACCGTATTAGAAAGTCAGGTGGGGGGAGCCGTATAGTGAGTTTTGGTCATAATTTGAAATGTCCGTATTAGCGGAATGCCGTAAAGTGAAACGCCGTAAAGCGGGGCCTTCCTGTACATATACACACACCCCTGGGTTTTCTTCTATTTTCTTACTAGTTCTTGTTCTTGTTTATTTCCTCTTACCTCCATGAGGAAGTGGAACAGAATTCTTCCTCCGTAAGCCATGCGTGTTGTAAGAGGAGACTAAAATGCCAGGAGCAAAGGGCTAGTAACCCCTTCTCCTGCATATATTACTAAATGTAAAAGGAGAAACTTTCGTTTTTCCTTTTGGGCCACCCACTTCGGTGGGATACGGCCGGTGTGTTGAAAGAAAAAGAACTGTCCAAACATAGATCTACGTTCTTACTGCTAGCACTCTAAATGTAGATCAACGTTTTATTTTTCCTGCTTCCAAATTTGGCACGATTGGCCTAAGATGCAGACACATTTATCACCTTCAAAACTACCGTTAGAAAACATCTTATCTCCCTGATACACCCCATCAACTAACCACATAAAAACCACCTGGTGGTTCACACTTACACTCACTCACTCACCCATTTTACTATAAGCACAGAAATACGTATCTTAATCTTAAAATAATGATTCCTAACTAGTCATAAGTGTGCCTGTGATACTCCAATATAGAAACTACAGGTCAGCTATCACTAATCCAGCATCATTGGGACCTGTAGTGTGCTGGATTAGTGAGTTTGCCGGATTACGGAGTGGTTAGGTTAGAATACACTTAATTAACCTATCAACAGAGAGACTACTGCATCTTCCTCATTTTCATCACTGCTTTCTCCTCCACTGGCTTGCTGCTGTGGATTTACAAACATCTGCACAATTTCTGACTCCGTATAATGATGCAATTTGAGTCAGTATAATGATCCGAGTCAGTGTAATGATGAGATTTTAAATTATGCTAGCTGAAATTAGTGCCGGATTACTGATGGAACCAGATAACTGATTGCCGGATTAGTGATGGCTAACCTGTATGTATTGTGCCAAAACAAAAGCAGTCACATTGCTAAACTCACAAACTAGTACTTAGTCAACTTACTCCACAATTTGTAATAATTTAGGGTTAAGAATTAATCTAAGTTTGCCCGAAATGCTAGCCATGCTAAGTGTTCTGGTGGCCCCCTCTGTAATTAGTATTTTATTACGTGTAAACCACACAATAACCAAAATCTGTAAACCCCGCATTGTAATCCTTATAGAGAATAAACTTTGATTTGATTTGATTTGATTTGTCAGCACAGAATGGGATTTAACCCTCAGTGTGCACTATTAAAAAAATCTGGGACCATTTAGTACCTTGTGGGAGCACCAGTTCAATTGAGCCCCAGCTAGAGCAAATAATGCAGCAAACACCAAGGATTCACTGATGTCCTATCATATTAACACTCCTCTTTTAAGAGGAAAGTGTCATCTTGCCAGAATGTCCCATAATCTATGCCCTAAGTAAAAAGAAACAAGTCTGAAACTGTAATTTCGACAGGCTGGCTGGCTGATTGAATCTGTCTCTATCTCACAGGAACACGTATGTAAATACAATTATACATAGTGTAAATTACCTAGGATAACCCAAAAAATCCAGACGAAGTGCTATTCTGGAACTGTAATTTCGGAAGGCTGGCTGGCCAGCTGGCTAGCTGGTAGCTGGCTAGCCGGTGGCTGGCTGGCCGGTGGCTGGTTGGCTGGCTGTCTACATCTCCGTCTGTCTGTCTGTATCTATCTCTGTCTCTATATCTGTCTATATCTCCGTCTGTCTGTATCTATCTCTGTCTCTATCTCACAGAAACGCATATGTAAATACAATTCTACATGGTGTAAATCACCTAGGATAATCCAAAAAATCCAGATAAAGTGCTGTGCTGTGCTTGTAGATAGTGATCGTGTGTAATGCCAGATGATTCACGAGCAGCTCTGAGACAGACAGATAGATAGACAGACATGTTTATGTGTTAGAGTGAAAACAAATAAAGCGAAGGCTCATCAAATGTTACCGCTCTCATTAGTGGAGAGATAAGATAAGACGACGCTCATCATTGTCAGCAGTGGAGTGAAGAGATAAGATAAGTGACATACTCTTACATCAAGCTTCAAGGCATCTTATTATTATTAATTATTATTATTTATTATTATAAACACCAGTGTATCCAAAACATTGCTGGGACCTATAAATACTATGTATATTGACTAAAGTAGGTAAAAATGTTCACCTGTCACTGTGTTTGTGACTATCTGAGCACTATTTCAGTACCTAATATTAGTATCAGAACAAAGATTAACTATGAAATCATAAGAACTACTACAAATTGTCATTACCAGAACATAAAAAATTATACAAATTAAAAAAAAAATGAGATAAAAAGGTATATTGGCAATACATCTGCAAGTGGCAGCGCTTCATGTTGCCTTCAGATGAGTGACAAGTGCTGACTTTGTGGCCTTATATCTCTAAGTACTGACTCTAGAATGTTTTCTTTTACATTACTTTATGTAAAAAAATGTCCTCTTCATTTAAAAAAAAAAAATATTTTTTTTATTTTTCAAAATATTCGGAGTGCTGAGCGAGAGAACATAGAACTCGTTTGGACAGTTAAGAGGTTAATTACTTTACCTAATAGAATACTCCACCTAATGACCATATGACCTGTTTCTGTAATACAAATCATTGATTTTATTAAATTTGATTGGATTATATTATACGTACATTGTTATGCTACAATTTTGTTACTATAATGCTTCTTATTTGAAATACTCATTTGTACTTCATGTTGTAATTTGTTTACTGTAATTTTTACCAAAAAATATATCACTGCTTAGTTAATCTTAAGTTACTTTTAACCCTGCCCATAATGCTCTGCATACAAGGGGCTTTTGGCATGTACACCCTATCATTATATTTCTTTGTACAACTATGTATCATGTCCAAATAAAAATAAATAAATAAAATAAACAGAGACAGCTAAAGTCAGTCAACCAGCCGGCTGGCCAGCCTGCTGAATACATATTACACATGCTCCAGAATTGCTTCTCTTTACTTAGGGCATAAGCTATTGGACATTCTGGCAGTATGACACTACCAGTGGTATCAGAAATGAAAGGATGTTGCACATATGTTGCACATGGGTTATTATAGAGGTTTTTGATATTTCCTTGACCACTTGTGGCCACATCCATCTCAAAACCACTAAACTCCGGGTCAACATCGCTTTCCTCTTAAAAGGGGAATGTTAATACGACATGACATCAGTGAATCCCTGGTGTTTGCCATGCTATTTGCTCTAGCTAGCACTCAATTGAACTGGTGCTCCCACAAGATACTAAGTGGTCCCAGAATTTTTTAATACTGCACACACCGAGTGTTAAGACTCATCCTATGCTGATCAGGCATCTCAGGCCAATCGTGCCAAATTTGGAGGCAGGAAAAATAAAATGTAGATCTACATTTGAAGTGCTAGTGGTACAAACAGAGATCCACATTTGGACAGTTTAAGGGTTAAGAGCTCTTCTTTAACAATGTTGCTGTGATGCTCTATTTGTGTGGGAGATGACAAAAGTTGTGTCGTCAGCAAAGAGAATAGGTCTAACCTGTTGCAACACATTTGGAAAGTCACTGATATACAAAAGGAAAAGTAGAGAGACAGAGACAGACAGAGAGACACACAGAGAGAGACAGAGACAGACAGAGAGAGACAGAGACAGACGGACAGAGACAGACGGACAGACAGACACAGACTGAAGTTTTCAGGTAGTGTGTTACAGATTTTAGATTGTTTTATGCACACTGAGGTTTTGCAAAAACCTCAGTGTGGGGAGTATCAGAGATAGATGTGCCCATGTATTCTTGTGCTGTTCCTTAGAAAAACAAACTTCAAATTTAATCTGATAGTTCTTTAATATCTTTGTAAAGCAATCAACACATCTCTAGCATGTGACAGTACTATGGTGTTATTCAAAACAAAATTTTCTTACCGACATCTAAAATTCAAATAGTCTTAAGAATAAAATTTAGGAACATACCTTACAACATCCATTGAGCCAGCTCCAGCTTTGAAGAAATCCGTGTCATCAGCAATTTCAATATTTAAAATAGCCTTCCATGTATCTCTTAACTTGTTAGCTATTTCCTGTTCTTCTGCTGTCAGTTCTACTGTCTCAGTAGCTTCTGCTGCTGCACCATACTTAGAAGCGCTCATCATCTTACCATCAACACTTAAGCGAGCAACATTTAACTGCAGATACAGAAATACAATAGACTTAATCTTAGAAACTGCTATGCAGTTTATAATGCGACATAAGCTGGCAAAAAGCTCAAACCTTACATCATTTGAGTAAAACTGGGTAACTGCAGAGTTGTCTTCTTACAGGCAAGTCTGTAGTACTGTATTGCAATGAGATCTCTCAGCCCAGTTCTGATCAAGTTATGAAAAAAATTAGGCATGGTTTAATTTACACACAGAGCCATTACCCTACCTCAGCTTATTTCAGAGCCCAACCTTATTTGAGGTATACACAACATAAACCATAACAATTAACTAACACCCAGATTCTGTACCTATTTACTGATAGGCAAACATGAGTAACTGGTGTAGACACTTGCCCTTACGTCTTATCAAGCCTAACTTCTTTTAGCTGTAACACAAATGCTCTATTACTGAACTACAAGTCACTTGAGACTGAATGTTACCACACATTTCTTTATGAAATATGGTTAAAATATGAAGCTGATATCTCAGTGTGATCAGAAAGACAACATTTTAACACATTTTCTCTATGTACACTACTGCAAAATTGTGGCATATTTTCGATGAATACTCCATAAAATTTGACTAGCACGGTGCCATTTTTGGGGGGAAAACTTATAGCTCTGTGAGCTGGACAGCAGGATTTTTCCCCTCCATCTAATGGGCTTGCAGGCAGCCTGCCTGTGAGTCAGGCCACTGTGAGGAAGGCCTAACTTCCTCCCATCTCCCCATTCCCACTTCTCATTACCTAACAGAATACTCCATTCTACTGAATGCACAGCAACACAGAAAAAGACCATATGACCTGTCTTTGAAATACTCATTTGTGCTTAATTGTTAACTGTTTATAACAATGTTTACCACTGAATATATCATTGCTAAGTTAATCTTAAGTTAATTTTAAGCCTGCCCATAATGCTCTGCTTACAAGGGGTTTTGGCATGTTACACTTAACCACTGTATTTCCTTGTACTTCTATGTATCATGTTCAAATTAATAAATAAATAAATATTTATTTTTTATTAGCACACTAGCCGATTCCCACCAAGGCAGGGTGGCCCGAAAAAGAAAAACTTTCACCATCATTCACTCCATCACTGTCTTGCCAGAAGGGTGCTTTACACTACAGTTTTTAAACTACAACATTAACACCCCTCCTTCAGAGTGCAGGCCCTGTACTTCCCATCTCCAGGACTCAAGTCCGGCCTGCCAGTTTCCCTGAATCCCTTCATAAATGTTACTTTGCTCACACTCCAACAGCACGTCAAGTATTAAAAACCATTTGTCTCCATTCACTCCTATCAAACACGCTCATGCATGCCTGCTGGAAGTCCAAGCCCCTCGCACACTAAACCTCCTTTACCCCCTCCCTCCAACCTTTCCTAGGCCAACCCCTACCCCACCTTCCTTCCACTACAGACTGATACACTCTTGAAGTCATTCTGTTTCGCTCCATTCTCTCTACATGTCCAAACCACCTCAACAACCCTTCCTCAGCCCTCTGGACAACAGTTTTGGCAATCCCACACCTCCTCCTAACTTCCAAACTACGAATTCTCTGCATTATATTCACACCACACATTGCCCTCAGACATGACATCTCCACTGCCTCCAGCCTTCTCCTTGCTGCAACATTCATCACCCATGCTTCACACCCATATAAGAGCATTGGTAAAACTATACTCTTTCCTACATACTCTAACTTGAGCCTCACTATCCTCATAAAAACTCTTCACTGCTTTCAGTAACCTACCTCCTATACCATACACCTGCAACATCTGCCACATTGCCCCCTATCCACCCTGTCATACGCCTTTTCCAATTCCATAAATGCCACAAAAACCTCTTTAGCCTTATCTAAATACTGTTCACTTATATGTTAATTGTATTTACATTATTTCTTATGGGAAATATTACTTCAGTTTTCATACAAATCAGTTTTCAGCCAACATTCTTGAACAGATGAAAGACGAAAACTGGGGTTCCACTGTATTATAATAATGCAGTAGTCTGCATAACAGTAAATCTTTTATTTTTTATGTGAATAATAATTCAAAATGGAAAGCAAGTGTAATATAGGAAATGCCTGAGGAAATAACTAATGAACAGAGGAAATGTTTTAGTATCAATAATGTCTAGTTTTAAATTGGCAATATTTTAGTGTGAAATTTGTCAAATTACAAATTTGTGGTCACTATTGGGTAGGTGAAATAGTCAAATGGACGTTTTGTACTCAAATCGATGGAATGGATGTGGAAATTTATAGACCAAAAATTCCACCAACCTGATTCACTTGTACATAAGTTGATGCAGCAGTCATAGGAACACTTAACACCTACCCAAACAATGATACTAGCATTGAGATTGTAAGAATATGGAGAAATCATAAGTTTAACCCTTAAACGGTCCAAACGTATATATACGTTTACTCACGCAGCGCCCCGAATATTTTGAAAAAAAAAAAAAAAAAATTATAGAAAAAAAGCACATTTTATAAGTGTTTTAGAATAAAAAAAAATTAGGCTCAGTACTTAGAGATATGAGGCAGAGAAGTTGGCACTGGATGCTCATGTGATGGCAACATGGAGTCCTGCCGCTTGCAGAAGTGTTGCCGATATACCTTTTTTCTATTTTTCATATTATTTTATATAATTTTTATGTTCTGATAATTTACAATTTATAGTAGTTCTTGTCATTTCATAACCAATCTTTCTTCTGACACTAGTATTAAGTACTGAAATTGTACTCAAATTGTCACAAACACACTGACAGGTGGACATTTACACCTGCCTTGGAATATATACAAAGTATTTATTGGTCCCAGGAATGTTTTGGATATGTGGAAGTATATAATAATAATAAAGGAGAGAGGAGGGAGGAGGAGGAGGAGGAGGGGAGGGAGGAGGAGGGAGGAGGTGGAGGAGAATACGTAATAATAATAATAGGTAATACTGTAATAAGTTCCCTTGAAGCATGAAAAATAAAGTCCACCCCTGACAGTGACATGATGAGATAACATCTGATAAGAGCTGAAGTTTGATGAGCATACACGAGGGTGGGGGAGGGTGCAGCTGATATGAAAAGATTAGAGGTGACATTTGATGAGCATCACCCTCCCTCTGTTTTCATTGGTACACAAACATTTCTGTCTGTCAAGCTCCCTGTCTATCCGTCTAGCTCTCTGTCTCAGAGAGCCACAAGACTGCGTCATCACCTTTACTCACATCTTCAAGTAGAGTATAGCACTTTGTCTGGATTTTTTGGGTTATCCTAGGTAATTTATACTACGTATACTTGTATTTGTATACTTGTGAGACAGAGATAGACAGAGAGACCGACAAAGGCAGAGACGGATAGAGACAGAGACAGATACACACAGACAGACAGACAGAGATAAACAGAGATAGACAGAGAGAGATAGACAGATCGACAGACCCTAAACTTGAGGTTAACATCACTTTCCTCTTAAAATGGGAGTGTTAATATGACATTACATCAGTGAATCCTTGGTGATTGCCGCACTGTTTGCTCTAGATGGTGCTCAATTTAACTGGCGCTCCCACAAGGTACTAAGTGGTCCCAGATTTTTTAATACTGTGCACACCAAGTGTTAAGACCCATTCTATGCTGACCAGGCATCTCAGGCCAATCGTGCCAAATTTGTATCTTTATATGTGTATGCTTCTAAACTGTTGTATTCTGAGCACCTCTGCAAAAACAGTGATGGTGTGCGAGTGTGGTGAAAGTGTTGAATGATGATGAAAGTATTTTCTTTTTTAGGATTTTCTTTCTTTTTTTTTGGGTCACCCTGCCTCGGTGGGAGACGGCCGACTTGTTGGAAAAAAAAAAAAAAAAAATACGTTTGGGGCACTATGCTTAAGAACATATATATATATACACGTTTGGACCATTTAGGGGTTAAATACATGTGATCATGTTAAGATGGATTACATAGGTTTTTTCAGTACAATATTAGAATTACTTTTACAGACAAATTGTTTGGTGATGACGATTAAATAACCCGCTCACTAGCAATCCCGTCCGAATGAGCGACGTGTCCAAGGGTGCCCTCCTTGGCGGCCCGTGTGACCCATTGGTTTAGCCAGCCAGCTCCCGGTAAAATCCAAGAACATTAAGGAATATTTCTCCAGTATATGTACAAGTGTTTTCAGGTGTGTTTTGGAAAATAAGTGACTTTGGGCCAAGGAAAGCTTCTAGTGCAACCTGTGTGTAAAAAAGGGTGAGAATTAGTATGGAAATTAAGAAAGATTTTGAAGGGTTTGGGGCTAACCCTGAGAACCTATGCCAGTTGTGGAATCCATTGTGCCTACTTCAAAGATTAAGGAAATGTGTGCACAGTGGGTTGAACTGCAAACCTTTATAGATGAAAAATCACCTGACACAGCTGTTGCAAGCCGTGCTGGTGACTATTTCAATGACAATGTTGTGGCCCATTTTAGACAAATCGTAAAGGAACGGAGGTACAGAGCTCTATGGACAGATTTGTTGTGCGACAGAGGTCCAGTGACTCTCAAGCTGGTCCTAGTGGCATTAAAAGAAGAAGGGAAGTAACCCCGGAAAAGGACTTGCTACCTCAAGTCGTAATGGAAGGGGATTCCCCTTCTAAACAGTAAGAAGATAATGCTCTCCCTCCTCCCATCCCATCAATCATCACCAGATCTTCAATAAAAGTAAGTGTCATGTAATTGTGCATGCCTTTTTCAGTTTGTGTGTATTAAAATTAACATTTCATGTGGTAAAAAAAAATTTTTTTCATACTTTTGGGCGTCTTGCACGGATTATTTTTTTATTTCCATTATTTCTTATGGGAAAATTCATGCCATAACGATTATTTCGCATAACAATTATCCCTCTTGCACGGATTAAAATCGTTAACCGGGGGTCCACTGTATACTGATTGATAGATTCATGTTTAAGAATGAATTAAATAGGTTTAAATTGTCAGTAACTAATATTAGAATTAATAATGTACCCTTAGACCTTAATATAAGGTTATATTAGGTGATGAGATTAGATATAATGCTAACTAGCAACCCCATCCTTGAACTGAGGCATGACAGTGTCTAGCAGAGGTAGACCCCTCCTCCTGGCATGGACACAGGTGGTGACAACAACATATTAGGAGCTCTTAGCTCAGCGTCTCATGTGTCTTTAAAAAATACTACCAAGAAATCATTCAAGAGAACTCCATTCACCTCTTCCCAGGTCCCATAGCAAGACAATCTGTTGCATTTCTCAGGGTATTTGTTGGACAATGGTATTTTGAGGAAGGTAAAGATTTGAGCTGAGGTTACGTGTGGGCACATGCCTAAACACAAGTGAGTGAGACTGATGAGTAACTCCCCTAAGTATCAGTCCAGAAGTTAGTATCCCACTGCCTCCAAAAATATTAATTAGGGAATACCCATTGAATTCAGGGACCCTCAAGGTGCAGGTTGGGGATATTAACACCACTTGAATATTTACAGGAATCATCCTGTGCACATGGCATCTTAGAGTAAGAGGTCACAGAAACTTAGATTAGCCTGTGAGGATCACGGGGTTTCTAGGTGGATTCCACAATAACGTAAGTCCAATCTAGTCTGTAAAGGCACATAAGAATTTCCGACATTTTTAATACGTACTTTTAAAAGAAGTGTATCTCAAGGGTCACTTGAGAACAAGACTCAAGGAGTTTTATACTGTCAACAGCTATTGCATGTGTGGGCATCTCAAGTTCCACAATGGAAGACATACTAGTGAAAACACTAGTTTGGTTGACTGGAACAATGGAATTGGCCTAAAATAGGACTCAAAGTGGGCGAAATTGCTGATGCGTAAATATTGCCGAGACTACTAACATCATTTTGTACTTTTGGTTTCAATACGTTTGGAAAAAGATTCTCTATCATTTCATATATATGTATTTTTTTTTTTTTTTAATTCTTGGACCCTGAGAGCAATTTTCTGATCAGAGGTCTGGACCCTGAAAGGGTTAAGGTAGATGGAGGTGGGAGAGATTTTTTTATATACATGTACCAGATGCAAGCAGTGGTAGACAATGACAAGAGTGTAAATATCACATCTATAATTCTTTACCAATCTCTGCCTGCTTGGTTGCTTGGCTGGCTGCCCACCACCCTCCTTCCCTTTTCTTCCCACTTTGCCTATGCACAAGTCTCTGAATAATAGGCTTACTCTGCTAATGGGTGCCAATGCCTCTGGAGATTTCAAGCTGAAGCTTATACTTATCACTCAGAAAACCCCCAGTGTTTAAACAGAGTATCCAAGAGTAGGTTGGGTGTGTTCTGACCTTTTGAAATGAATTACCATAAAACCATGAGTGTTGAGATGTGATACATCTTGAATGGATTAACACCATAATTCAAGGGACCACTGTATTAACATTAATATACGTACATTCATCAATACTTAAACTTTTCCAGTATTACCTTTTTTCCATCTGACCCAGTCAAAAGAAGTCCATCCTTGTGAATGATGCCTGGTGTGGCAAGTCCTTCAATTTCAACTTCCTGCCCCTCCACCAGAGAGTCGGTGAACATCTTTGAGCCAAACACTTTTACCTGAGTAGACCAAAAGTGGTAAAAATTCAAGAAAAACTAAATTTCATGCATCAGAATTCTATCGTCATCTAAATTCATCATAAATTCATGCCTACAGAAATCATTAACCTATACAGCAACTGCCAAGGGATGTACATCCATCCTGCCAAGTGAGTGTAAAACAAAAGCCTGTAATTGTTTTACATAATGGTAGGATTGCTGGTGTCATTTTTCTGTCTCATAAGCATGCAAGATTTCAGGTACATCTTGCTACTTCTTCTTACACTTAGGTCACACTACACTTGCATGTATAAGCATACACACACACACACACACACACACACACACACACACACACACACACACACACACCCAGAAGGGTTTTCTTCTGTTTTCTTGCTAGTTCTTGTTCTTGTATATTTCCTCTTATCTCCATAAGGAAGTGAAACAGAATTCTTCCTCCATAAGCCATGTGTGTCGTAAGGGGTGACTAAAATGCTGAGAGAAAGGGGCCAGTAACTTCTCTTGTATATATTACTAAATTTTAAAGGAGAAACTTTCATTTTTACTTTTGGGTCACCCTGCCTTAGTTGGATAAGACTGGTATGTTGAAAGAAGAAATCATTAAATACCTCATTAGATCTAAAAGAATGACAAATTTACCTAGAGTACTGTATAAATTGTGAATTTAGATGGTATTTATTAAATGTACATTGACCACCTAAAAATGAATATAAAAACTGCAATGGCATCTAAAGTTTGGTCTTGCATTATCAATAATTATGTATATGCAAGTGTCCTCTGTATACATCCCTACCAACAGCAGTCATAGATGTGATAAATGGTTTGAAAACTGATAAGCTGAAGATTGACACACTTATGCAACATATGGGAATCTTTATTAAGGAAACGTTTTGCCACACAGTGGCTTCTTCAGTCCGATACAAAGCAGAGAGGGGGGTAAGGAGAGGAGTTTGAGGTAATCAGTCCCTCAGCCTGGAATCAATGTGTTCAGACCATTGCTCTTGTAGAAAGTACAGCATATGGCCAGAGAAGTGGCTTATATATACGTATACTGTAGTCACGTGAGTCGAAGGAGGAGGAGGCGTCATTACAGTGGAATCATCCACTAGTGTAAGTAGGTCTTCGTCCAAAGGTTGGACAAGTATTGAAGAATTCCTTGTATCAAGTTCCCATGATGTTGCAGTGTCTGACCCCTCTCTGCTTTGTATTGGACTGAATTAGTGTGGCAAACATTTCCTTAATAAAGCTTACCATATACTGCATAAGTCTCTCAATCTTCAACTTGTTGGTTTTCAAACCATTTATCACATCTGTCAGACACTGCAACATCATGGGAACTTGATACAAGGAATTTTTCAATACTTGTCCAACCTTTGGATGAAGACCTACTTACACTAGTGGATGATTCCACTGTGATCCCACCTTATCCTGCTTCAACTCACCTGTCTCCAGCCATCTGCTGTACTTTCTACAAGAGTGATGGACTGAACACATCAATTCTAGGCTGAGGGACTGCTTACCTCAAACTCCTCCACTCCTTACCCCTCTCTGCTTTGTATTGGACTGATGAAGCCACTGTATGGCAAAATGTTTCCTTAATAAAGATTCCCAAATGCTGCACAAGTCTCTCAATCTTCAGCAGTCACAGAGTTTATCATAAAACATCACAAGACTAACCAACCTCCTTCCCATCCATGATCATCCATGCTCCAGGAGAAGAATCTAAACCTCGGATGAAGTTATGAATATTTTCAGCAGGCTGGTCCCAATTGATTTTGCACAGTTCATGTTTGTTGAGCATAGGATCATATGTAGCTCCTTCTGTTGGTTGAGGGATCACTGGAGCATTACCATTTACTACCATGCAAACTGCTTCTGCCTAAAAAAAAAAAAAAAAGGAAAAAGCTTAGAAATAAGTTTTTTTTTCTTTTCACAAGTCGGGGGCCATCTCCCAAAAAGAAAGAAAATCCCAAAAATGAAAATACTTTCATCATCATTCAACACTCACCTCACTCACACATAATCACAGTTTTTGCAGAGGTGCTCAAAATACAACAGTTTAGAAGCATATACGTATAAAGTTACACAACATATCCCTCCAAACTGCCAATATCTCAAACCCCTCCTTTAAAGTGCAGGCATTGTACTTCCCATTTCCAGGACTCAAGTCTGGCCATATAAAAATAACTGGTTTCCCTGAATCTCTTCACTAAATATTACCCTGCTCACACTCCAACAGCTTGTCAGGTCCCAAATACCATTCGTCTCCATTCGCTCCTCTCTAACACGCTCATGCACGCTTGCTGGAAGTCCAAGCCCCTTGCCCACAAAACCTCCTTTACCCCCTCCCTTAAACCTTTTTGAGGATGACCCCTACCCTGCCTTCCTTCCCCTACAGATTTATATGCTCTCCATGTCATTTTACTTTGATCCATTCTCTCTAGATGATCAAACCACCTCAACAACTCCTCTTCAGCCTTCTAACTAATATTTCTATTAACTCCACACCTAATTTCCACACTCCGAATTTTCTGTATAATATTTACACCACACATAGCCCTTAGACAGGACATCTCCATTGCCTCCAACCGTTTCCTCTCTGCAGCATATACAACCCAAGCTTCACACCCATATAAGAGTGTTGATACTACTATACTTTCATACATTCCCTTCTTTGCCTCCATAGATAGCGTTTTTTGTCTCCACATATACCTTAAGGCAACACTCACCTTTTTTTCTTCATCAATTGTATGATTAACCTCATCCTTCATAAACCCATCTGCTGACACATCAACTCCCAAATATCTGAAGACATTCACTTCTTCCATACTACTCCTCTCCAATTTCATATCCAATTTTTCTTTATCTAAATCATTTGATACCCTCATCACCTTACTCTTTTCTATGTTCGCTTTCAACTTTCTACCTTTACACACTCTCACAAACTCGTTCACTAACCTTTGCAAATTTTCTTTAGAATCTCCCGTAAGCACAGTATCATCAGCAAAAAGTAGCTGTCAATTCCCATTTTGTATTTGATTCCCCATAATTTAATCCCACCCCTCTCCCCAACACCCTAGCATTTACTTCTCTTACAACCCTATCTATAAATATATTAAAGAACCATGGTGACATTACACATCCCTGTCTAAGACCTACTTTTACCGGGAAGTATTCTCCCTCTCTTCTACACACCCTAACCTGAGCCTCACTATCCTCATAAAAACTCTTTACAGCATTTAGTAACTTACTACCTATTCCATATATGTACTTACAACATCTGCCACATTGCTCCCCTATCCACTATCATATGCCTTTTCTAAAAACATAAATGCATTGAAAACTTCCCTACCTTTATCTAAATACTGTTCACATGTATGTTTCAATGTAAACACTTGATCTACACATCCCCTACCCACTCTAAAACCTCCTTGCTCATCCACAATCCTACATTCTGTCTTACCTTTAATTCTTTCAATAATAACCCTACTGTACACTTTTCCTGGTATACTCAGTAAACTTATTCCTCTATAATTTTTACAATCTCTTTTGTCCCCCTTCCCTCTATATAAAAGAACTATACATGCTCTCTGCCAACCCCTAAGTATGTTCTCCTCTTTCATACATTTATTAAACAAAAATACCAACTACTCTAACACTATATCCCCCCTGCTTTTAACATTTCTCTCAAGATCCCATCAGTTCCAGCTGCTTTATCCCTTTCATTCTACATAAAGCCTCATGCACTTCCCCCACACTCACATCCTGCTCTTCTTCACTCCTAAAAGATGGTATACCTCCTTGGCCAATGCATGAAATTATCACCTCCCTTTCTTCTTCGACATTTAAAAGTTCCTCAAAATATTCCCGCCATCTACCCAATACCTCCATCTCCCCATTTACTAACTCCCCTACTCTGTTTTTAACTGACAAATCGATTCATTCCCAAGGCTTTCTTAACTTGTTTAACTCACCTTTGATATACCTTTATACCTTTGAAGAGTTTCGAGAGTTTATCTACTCTCTGAGCCTGGCCATGGGCCAGGCTCGTCTGGTGCTTGCCTGGTCAACCAGGCTGTTGCTTATAGGCCCACTGCCCCACATATCCATCACAGCCTGGTTGATCTGGCACCTGGTGAAGATACTTGTCCAGTTTCCTTTTGAAGGCTTCTACACTTGTTCAAGCAGTGTTTCTGATATCTTCTGGTAAGATGTTGAAAAGTCTAGGACCCCGGATGTTGATACAGTGTTCCCTTATTGTCCCCACCGCACCCCTGCTCCTCACTGGGTTTATTTTACACTTCCTCCCATATCTCTCACTCCAGTATGTTATGGCAGTGTGCAGATTTGGGGACCAAGCCCTCGAATACCTTCCAGGTATATATTATCATGTACCTCTCTCTCCTCCGCTCCAATGAGTACATGTTCTTATTTTCATTAAAATGTCTTGACAGTGCCTCTCCCACTATCTGCTCTTCTTTTGCACTCTCTCACCACTCTTCACCTTTCTTTTACTCTCCATTTACTCTGCTCTTCTTACAACACTTCTGCTTTGTAAAAACCTCTCATAAGCTACCTTTTTCTCTTTTATCACACCCTTTGCTTCATTATTCCACCAATCATTCCTCTTTCCTCCTGCACCCACCCTCCTATAACCACAAACTTTAGCCCCACATTCTAATATTGCATTTTTAATTAAAACTATTCCAACCCTCTTCAACCCCCCCTCCCCTACTCATACTTGTACTAGCCCACCTTTCTGCTAATAGTTGCTTATATCAAAAATCAGACTAAATGTATATTTAACAAATTCCAGCAGAATAGGTTACAATATTACAACTTTGACATAGCTGTCATGAAGATATATTTTTTCTAATTATTCCTGCTGAAAACCTTGTTACAGTGTATGGGTGTCAAATGCATGAAGTATTAGAACACCTTTCCTCACTAGCAGTTACTGTGATAGAATGTGTAACTTTTTATTATCAGGAACATTTTATACAATACAATACCTACTTTAAAATTTCTGTCATCAGTGGAGACTTGTTTTTCTATTCAGTGCTTTGGTCTAACATAAAAAACTGCTGCTGCATGACAGTTTAATACAGCAGAACCCCGGTTTTCATACTAAATCTGTTCCAGAAAGTCATTCTAAATACAAAACGTAAGAAAACTGAAGCAATATTTTCCATAAGAAATAATGTAAATACAATTAATCCGTTCCAGACGCCCAAAAATATTAACGAAAAATACATCTTTTAAAGAATAACTATAGTTTTACATACAGGAAAAAAGTGATAAATAAACATTGCATACCTTTATTGAAGACTCTTGTTGGTATATGGAAAACAGGGAGGAGGGGAGAGGGAGGACTGATTATTGTTTGGAAGGGGAATCCCCCTCCATAAGGACTGGCTATTAAAGCCCTCTCTGGGGTTACTTCCTTTCTTTGTCTTTTACTGGCACTAGGACCAGCTTGAGAATCACTGCACCCATGTCACACAAAAAAAACTGTCCAGAGAGGTCTGTTTCTGGAGTCTCTTTTGTATTTGCCTGAAGTGGGACAAGGTTTTGTCACTGAACATCGTTGCAGATATGGCTTGTTTCAGCTTGGTCAGGGTGATATTTCTCTACAAAACTTTGCAACTCACTCCACTTTGCACATATGTCACTGAAGATGGCACATTCTCCCCTCTCTCTTCCTCCTCTGAAGCAATTTCCTCAGCTGTAATCTGTTGCAGATGTAGATGAAGGTCTTGCAGCTCTTCAGTGGTCAGCTCTTCCCTGTGGTCTTCCACCAACTCTTCCACATCCTGGCCACTCACATCCAACCCATGGACTTCCCCAAAGACATTACATTCCACAACAGGCATAGGGTTGACAGGGTCAGCCTCAAACCCTTCAAAATCTTTGTCGAGGACACATTCTGGCCACAATTTCCTCCAAGCAGAGTCAAAAGTCCTGAGGTCACTTCCTGCCAAACCTTACCTATAAGGCTTATGCAATGGAGGATACTGAAGTGATTCCTCCAGAACACTCTTAGGGTCACTTCAAAGCACCTTTGAAACATTGCTTGGTGTAGAGTTTTTTGAAATTAGAAATGACCTGCTGGTCCATGGGCTGGATGAGAGGAGTGGTGTTAGGAAGCAAGAACTTCACTGTTACAAAACTGAAGTCCCTATACAATTAGTCTTCCAAGTCTGGAGGATGAGCAGGAGCATTGTCCAGTACCAGGAGGCACTTGAATGGTAATTTATTTTCCAGGAGGTATTTTTTTCACATGTGGGTCAAACACCTCACAGACCCAGTCAATGAAAATTTGCCTCGTGACCCATGCCTTATTATTAGCTTTCCACATCACACACAATTTACTCTTGATGACATTGTTTTTCTTGAACACTCTGGGATTTTCATAGTGATTCACCAGTAAAGGCTTCACTTTGAAATCTCCACTAGCGTTACCACAGATTAAGAGAGTTAGCCTATCCTTCACAGACTTGTGTTCTGGTAGTGCCTTTTCCTCCTGAGTGATGTAGGTCCCCTTCGGCATTTTCTTCCAAAAGAGGCCTGTTTCATCACAAATGAACACTTGTTGGGGGACGAATTCTTCAGCCTCTAATCCTTGAATTCATGCACGAATTCTTCAGCCACACATTTGTCTGAACTTGCAGCCTCACCATGCCTTACAACACTGTGTATGCCACTATGCTTCTTGAATCTGTCAAAACAGCCTCTGCTGGCGTGAAATTCACAAACAGCAGCACTCGTTCCAGGCATTTTCTTCATGAGATCCACATGCAACTGCCGTGCCTTTTCGCAAATGATCGACTCCACAACACTATCTCCTGCTAACTGTTTTTCATTGATCCACACCAACAA